CACTATATGGAACTGGTATGTGTGGTATGAATGTTGACAGTAGACAGATGTTTTTCTTAATATCTGACAAAATAGAGAAACTAAACCTAATCGAGGTAAACCTAAATACAGTACAGTAGTGGCTGAAGACTATAAGGTATGCTTGGTTGTGTTTGTTTGTGTTGTCTGTCAAAGTAACCAAGAAGTCAGCCCAGCAGATGTGATGTTATATGATAATTATAGATTTCAGAAAAAAATACTGTACAGTACAGTATATATAAATAAATAAAATAAAATTGCTTAAAATAATTCAAGGAAAATTACTCGAGAGTGAAAATTAAAACCTGTTTTATTTGTGTTCAGATAATTGCTTGTTAAATGAATTTTTAAGCTGGCATCACACTTTTTTGTCATTTAATAGGTTTGGATTCTTTCCCTAATTTTCTCTTATTATTTATTTAATAATTTTTTTATTGCCATGAAAGAGAGCAGGGAAGTCTAAGAAGAGATGGAATTGGGTTTTAGTTAGTTTAACAAATTTATTGACAAAGCTTGGAGTACAGTTTGCCTATTCTGAGTAATTCAGTCAGGTCTTGACACTGAGGGTGGTATGACTTCTCACTGCCACGCAGGACAGAGGTTCATACACAAAGAAATACATCATATTCATTAACAGTATATATAGGTCAGATTCATGTGGGTGATGTCACTGTTCACTGCCATGCAGGACAGTGGTTCATATATACATTGGGTGTCATATTCTAATTGGAGATCAATCAGTGTGGGCAAGCAAATTTGGGATAAACAGCAAGATTGTCCTCAAGCATTGGATGCAATTTATAGACTAATTGATGTGCTGTAACAAATTACATTTATTTTGTAAGAGTTGCTCAGGCAAGTACAGTAACAAGAATATATGACTCATTCCATAATTTGCATTTCTGAAGTTTCTATTGCAATGCTTTTTCGGTATACCGTACTGGATAAACAAGCCGAGTAAATTTGAAAGGGTGAACGGAAATGTGACTGTATAAGTATCATTGATTCCCTCTAAAACAAATCAGGAAGGAACAGTTTCTGGCAAGACATTTCTGTGGATAACATACAAGTTAAAAGGAAACGTTATTTACTGAGTATTCATCAGACTTAGTAGAATTCAATGTTATTTTTACAGATGCTGTGGTTTGTTTATTATGTATGTGTGTGAAACTTAAGTTTGTGGCAGCAGCCTTGGGTCGTAGTGTATAGTGTTGTGTGGGAGAAACAGGGAACTTTTATGATTTTGTACTCGTATATTTTGAATGGGTTGATGATAACGGGCTTCCTGTGGCAGGGTGATGATTCTAGCAACAAAGGGTAAGTTCTACACACAGATGTTGCCTTAAAACTGAAATCACTTAAACTAGTGGAAAGGAGAGAGGCTAAGAGAAAAAAGTCATATTTAGGACGAGAAATATTATGATCTAGGAAAAAGTTTCATACTAAAGGTCGAAACACTGTACATTTAAAACTTGTTAAGGCTGTTCTTAAGTTATTTGATATAACCACTAATTTTACATTTTCTTGTGAATGCGATTTTTTTTTGAGTCGTTATCAGTGTTAGGGCACCAAGGTGGATTGGTAGTGGAATATTGACATCCCCCCGATGGTCCTCTAGCTGGAACACATGATCATAATCAGTACTGTGCATCACCTGACACATTTTGTAACACTACTGCAGTGGATACTTGTCCTAAGCATAGTGTGTTTGTCTCTTCTGTTCGTCACATTTTATTCGTGTGACATTTTTTGACATTCTGGCTGGAAGTCACTAGAGCATGGTACACAGGTTTGTTATCACTCAGGGTATCTAACTCATTTTCAGGTCGGTATATCAGAGGTCAAGCTTCTCTGCCAAAGATGTAGTCATGGGTCACATGTTTTCATTCATGTGATGATTGATAGTCTTAATATGTTTGGCTGTCACACTGCACTGCAGCAGTGTCAGTGACTATATATATATATATATATATATATATATAGTTGTTGGAAGCAGTTGGTGTGTGTGTGTGTGTGTGTGTGTGTGTACGTGTGTGTGTGTGCACGCGTGTGTGTGTGTGCGCGCATGCACAGCAGTAGTAGCAGCGAAGTATTCCCAGGGGCAAGGTTACTTTTATTACTTCCCTGTGGCCTCAGTAACCCCCGGGGGCAGGTGCCACACAATGACGAGGAACTGTGCAGGATGTCTGTTCAAGGGAGTTTATTGGTGTTCTATGTCAATCTCTCTCAATGTCTTGTCTGTCTCACCAAGGTCTTTTACATCATTGATTCGGGATCTTTATTCACATGTCTCCCATTTGTGCTTTCCCGTGTTTGTATGGGTGGGTGGATATATGTGGAGTTGGGTGTTAATTGATGTGCGTGTAGAGGGGTGGTGGGGACGTTAGGTGTGTTGATTTGGGTGGATGGATATGTTTGGTGTAATATGGGTATAAGGGGAGTTTCATGTGGGTATAGGTGGATTTGTGTTGGTAGGTAGTTGGGTGTGATTGTGTGTGGTCGATACATTTAGTGTTTATTTGGGAAGTAAATGTCTGTCCTGTGTTCAGTGCTTTATACATGTGCCGCTCCACAACCTCGGTCTCCCCTTCATCTCCTTCTCCCCTTCATCTACTCATCCTCTTCCTCATCTCCTCCCTCTCTCACGGTTTGAACGTAGGTGTGAAAGTAGAGGGATTTCCTCACCCAAGCAACTCCTCGGTGAGAAGTGTAACCCTAACTTAAACTTATCCAAACAGTCTGACGCTTGACTGATACACCACCACAGCCACTCAGGCATGACGTCCACCCGTAATTCACCACGACCAACACACACACACACACACACACACACACACATGACACGTTTAGTCAGGGGCGGATCCAGGAATGTAAAAAAAGGGGGTCCAAGAAGTTGTGAGTGGGGGAGCGTAGCGAGCCCACCCGGTTGGGGGGGGATGCTGTAAGCCCCCAGAATATTTTTTGAAATCTGGTGGTGGGGGGTCCGGACCACCAGGACCCCCCTGGATCCGCTTGACTACCACCACAATCACATACATCAATACACCATCATCATTACATTGTCACCACCATACGCCATTATTTACCGTCACCTACCACTGCTACTATACCTGCCCTACGTCAACCATCTCCTCCACACAGGTAAGGGCCTTGAGACTGTCTCATAGTGCACTGGAGTCTATCATTTTAGAGTACCGTTTAGGATGTGTGTGCCAAGGACTGATCTCTTGACACAATTTCTATTATTGCTTAACATGCTGCTACGACGGTATTCAGGTTAATTTTTCACTTCTTCACTTATCATACGGTATTTAAAGTAATGAATAACACTGCACCTCGTGAGCGTGGGCCAGTCACCTCCAACCCCCTCAACCTTTTCCAGTATAACCCAGTCAGTCTTCTCTTCACATTAGTCACCAGTGAACCATAATCCCGTTATCTTGATAGGGATCACACCGGGTTAAGATCACCACCACATGAGACCTGTACACTTAACCAGCCATCATCTAACCTTGGACTGTTGTGACGCCAGACAAATAATGGGAGTAACATAAGGCCATGTCTCATGTTTAGTAAGTGCAGCAGTACTGTAGACGTAAGGATTATTATTTTTTTATTTACATATATATATATGAATAGTGGATATAATCTATTAAACAGATAATTCAACCCCAGATGTCAAATGGTCTCTTGTGAAGGTCAGTTGATTGCATTTGAACATAAACAGAAGTCAGCTGATCACCTATTAACAGAATCTGGGTGATAGCATTCGGCCACAGCTACGACATTAAGCCCAGGGGCTCTGGTGGTAGTTTCTTGCTTGTCGTGGAGGTGTTGTCTTCCTTTGGGAAGATTATCGGTGGGAAGAGTTTATTGATGACGTTACACCTGAGTTTATAATATTACATTGGCGATAAACGTTGCATCGATTGGTTTCACGTCTGGGTTATCTTATCGAGGACCAGTTTTTTTTATGCGTGTATACAGTATGTGTGTGTATATGGTGTATGTGTGTTTCAGGTGTGTGTGCGTGTGTGCGCGTGCTTGGTGTTAAGTAATGCACCAAGTCGTTAAGTGTTGGTGAGGAAAGTGAGAGTAGTAGAGGCAGTACATGACACTATAAATATTACCGGGAGAGTGCTCCCCCTCCCCCATTCCAGAAGCCAAAGGTACCGGTGACACTTATTCCGGTTGTGTTTGTACTGTCCTCGCTCTATCGTGGTTTGGGGCCATAGTCCGTCTAACGGGGTCGACCTTCGTGACGTCACAGGTCTCTCCTTGATCACCACCTTCATATTAACTACCAATGTATGCTGGACACGGGTGCTGGCTCCTTCATAGATATTACTCTCTTTAATCGTGTTTATCGGCGTATTTAAAGCATCTTAATAAATGTTTCGTACTGGGGAACAATTGGTTGAAATACTTGATGGTCATGGCTATTTACCGCTCCTGGATAGATTTCTCACTGGTTGGCGTATGTGTAGTGAGAGCATTGGTTTTATCATCTGATGATTTCAGCCTTTAAGCATCCACTACTTGGTGTAAACGCAAGTATGACTTGGTACTCTACAATTAGTCGTGTGTGTCTAATAATAATAATAATAATAATAATAATAATAAAAATAATTAACGGTTTGTTGAAAAAGTTCTGCAGCCCGAAGGCTGAAAATATACATTAGACAAATATGGCTTCTCACCTACCCCATGTAGGTGGGTAGTTTAACAAAAGCTTTCATTACTAAAAGTAGAAGGAACATGAATTGAACATACAAATTATTATAGTTTGCAGTTGATGGCCTGGGCTGGTCTCTTGCCATACTGTGTGAGGTCACGTTGCGTGTACGCTTATGTATTAGTGGACAAGAATATAGTGTTATCTATTAAGCCGTCATAACTATTCACGTAATTAAGGTGTTTTGCTCCGGTTACTTACGGACACTTTACATAATTATGTGCTGACAGGAAACTGAAAAGTGACGCCATTAACATTATTTTTATTAATTTATAAACTAAATTACTTATATGTATATATATAATATAGAAGAATTCTGTACAAAGACAAGAGGCGATGAAGGAGGAGCGTAATCCCCTTGTGGTAGTTACTGCGTCGACGCTCCTCTCCCTGCTGTGTGTGTGTGTATGTGTGTATGTATGTATGTATGTATGTATGTATGTATGTATGAGTGAGATCAGGCGATAAGACTCACGGGATATAGGTTGACAGCGCGTGTAGTAGTAATAGTGTTCACAGCTTGGGTCGTCCACGTTGGCGGACTCTGCTGGGGTAGTAGTAGGTTTGTTGGCTCACTGGAGCGAAGACCTCGGCATCAGGGTTGATAGAGGGCAGCGGGAACTTGAAGTTAACGTCAGTGTCGCCTGCCAGGGAGTGTGGCACCTTGAGGCTGCCGGGGTGTGACACTTGAGGGGAGGCGACCCTGTTGTAGTTATATGGGCTCACTGCAGGGGCGAAGAATGTTTGATGAACCGGTGGGTGTCTTATGATGGCGGCCGTAGCGAAGGGTCGCGGGTACATGTATGGGATACGCACCCCGGTTTGTCCGACGTCGCGTAAGTCGTCGTCAATACGGTTAGTGAGAGTCCCGTCGGTGTTAAGGACGTTTCCTTGTGGTTGCGGGTACACGTACGGTACCAAGACGTAGTTGTTGGTAGAGGCTCCCTCCACGAAGAGTGAAAACGGTCGGTGAGATATTCGTTGTTCGGGGTGAGGGACTATAGCTGGGATGTTGCCGTTATATTCTTTATGGGATGAAGGTAACGGGGCCACCACAGACGATATCCTCGTCGGGGACCCCTCGCGGATGTCGTCGTCAGCATCCAGTGGTTGTGACGGCTCCTCAAAGGCGTCAGAGTTAAAGCCTCCGCCCTTGATGATAAGGAGATCATCGTCAGCGTAGAAGACCTCGTCAGGGTGGAGGCCGCCTAGCTGGTGTTCCTGTGGGCGGGGGAGGGGCGGCGCGGCACCTCGTTCACTCTGTAGACGGTCTAAAGTCGTGTACTTGTCACCGGCGTCCAGCACAGCCCCGCTGGCACCATCGAAGGCAGTGTCTGCTGTAACGCGGCTCTTTGTGGTGCCGTCAGGCGCGGTGTGAGGCGGGTCCAGTGGGAAGGGCGGGAAGGAACCCATGAAGAAGGGGATGGCGGACACGCGGGAGAAGTGTCGCGGGCGGGAGGACGCTCCTCGTCCCATAGGTCGGAATGATGGGCGGAAGGTAGTGACGGGGGGTGGCTGGGTGGTGGTTGGTTCCACGAAGCCGGGGATGCTGGAGGCTTTAGTGTTGGGGCTGCTCTTGCTCCACACCCAGCGGTCCTCACACTGCGCTACGCCCACCACCACTACTAACAACAACACGGTCCACGCCCACATTCTCCTCACCATCTTCTCCTGGAAAGAGTTAATAGCAATACATTAAACCAGATACAGTACATGACTACTACAACGTCTGTTCTCAGTAGCTCTTGAAATGTGTGCACAGGTTGACTGTCACGTGTGTACTGTATGTCGAGTTGTTGTTGTGCTTACATGTATTAACTGCTTCCCCTTAAACATAAACTTTATACATTGGCTTAGAGTAAAAGTTAATACAGCCTCTATTGGTACGTTCATAAAAAATGGCATTTATGTTGGATCTGTGGCTCTTGTAGTCTACATAAAGGTAGCCTTAACCTCACTAAATATGGACTATGAGTCATGTCATTCGCTGGTGTGTGTGTGTGTAGGCGTTCCTTCTATATACCTAGATAACTTTTGGGTTTTATTTATAACTTATACAAATAATTATGTTTGTCATTGTCCCAAGTAAACTATACAATAAGTTTAAATTACGTATACGGTCTTTACGGTGGTGGTGGTGAACTTTGCGATCAGCGGTTACTCTAGTTTTTGTGTTAAATGACTCACATATTTCCAAGACCATTCGTAAGTTAACGGTCTTATAACTTACTTGAAGTGAAACACCAAGAATTTATTTAAGGCGTGAGTATATAATGTGGAATATGTGGAGTTATTTTATATGAGTTTAGATTAACTTAGCCGTGTTGGGATGTTGGTCGTTGTGGGAGTAAATTAGACATTGATGATTGCCACAGATTTGAAAGGCATCTCGTCACGCAGCATGTTACAAGAAGAATACGACTCAACATAACATTTAGTTTATATTAACCTGTTTATAATTCAGTATTTGATTTTGGTTTCTCATTAGTGGTGATATTTTAGTAACACTGGAGAGGTTGGCTGCTAGTTGGTAGACGATTTTTATTCACATGTTTTCATAGATTTTCATTGTTATTTACATATTTTATTTACTTGTTATTGTAGCAGCAACTATTTATTTTTTTAACCACCTGACGTGTACCTCAGAAGCGCCGCTGTGGTTCAGTTATTATCCTCAAGAAACTATCGAGTATAACGTGACTGTGATATCTCCCTCTCTCTCTCTCTCCCTTCTCTCATTATTATTATTATATGCATACGCTGGTGGTGGTGGTACTTCACAAGTTTGTCAGTGTCATTCACGTCTAGTAAGTGCGAGGAGAAAGTGAATGATTCAAATTATTCACCCCAGTCAACCTTTTGGCTTTTATTCACGCTTCCCCTCCATTTCCTCCTTTTGCTCCATTTTTCATCTCTCTTCTCTTCCTCCTTTATTTTTCGTCACTCCACCTCCCCCATTTCTTCTCACTCGCTCACCTCCATTTTTCATCATTCCTCATACCGTTGATGCCTCATACTACTACTCCCGGGTAATTTTACACTTTAGGCAACTTGTTTATTTTGTAGTCTGGGTGACGGTCATCCCTGGCGGTCATTTCACGCACTGTCAGGTGAATCTTGGTAGCCGTAGTTTATGTTTTGTTGTGTATCCGTGTAGTAACTAAACCAAGGTACAGATCGTAGACATGGGGTAGCAGGACTGTACGAGAGGCACTGTTGAGGACGCCTACTACTGCTACTACTACTACACAGTTCATTTATATCTTGTTTTAACGTCAAGGAGCGAGACTTTGCGCGAAGATAGTGTGTGTGTGTGTGTGTGTGTGTGTGTGTGTGTGTGTGTTTACCTTATTGAGGCTGAAGTATTTGAGAGAAGAGTTTGGTACTTGTAACTTCGTCTTATTTCATGGTTACTTTAAAGTCTGCTGCCTTGAGTTCACGGCAGTTAATGCAAAAAAAAATAATGCAAAAAAAAAAAATAAATAAATAAAAAAAATAAAAATTCAGAATGAAAAAGACCGAAGCAGTGTATAGGATTCTTACTTAACGGTTTATTTAAATCTCTGTCAAGGAAAGGAGATTATTGCCTGAAGTGACTGGGAGTTGGTAATGGAGTTATGCTGTTTGTGTTGATGACCGTGGGTAACTGGCGTATATGATGGTAGATGACTGGTGACACGGAGAGACATGTGATTGAGAGATACTAGGAAGAGATGACCGGTACTGTGGGAGATGAGGGAGAAGTGGGGAGGAAAGGAGGGGAGGGAGACTACTGTTTATATTATCCCCCCCCCCAGAGCTCAATGTCGCTGCGGAAGGAAAGGAGGAAGGAAGGTCACTAAGGGAAGCCACAAAGGGCGCCACGCGTTACCGGGTTACATCACCATACACACGCTGTGACGTCTGTGTCTCTCTCTCACCGACTGAGGAAACTTCCTTTGTTTGGTTGTGATATGCTCGTGGTGGGTAACACTTAAGGTCCACGTGGGAGTTGAAACCAAGGTGAATGGCTGTGTATATGGTTATGTTAAGATGCAACAGGTCAAACGAGGCTGTGTTAGCTACGCGAGTTGGGGTAACAAGGTGTGTTTATTACGTGAGCTTCGGTAATGAGTGTGTTGGGAGGGCGTCACGGGCTGGAGTTAAGCGATGTGTGCAAGAAACGTTAACAGCAACAGCGTGTCAGATTATTGCTGCTCTCACGCGTGTCCACCCGATGGTCGATCTTGGTAAGGAAGATTATGAATGGCCAACTGAATGAAATGAATGATAATAGATGAATAAGCTTTCAGGTACACGTGGACGGAGAGTGAAGCAATGCTGGAGAGAGTTGTGTGTGTGTGTGGCCGTATAGCGAGGAATAGTAAGTTAAAACTGTGTGTGTATGTGAAATAAGAAAATGAATTATGGGAAGGAAGGAAGGATATATTGGTCGTTCGGGTAAGGGAGAGGGAGCAAGCCGGGTGAGGTGAGGGTTGGCGCCCCATGGCCAGTGGTGGTGGTGGGGGGTTTGTCTGACGCTGCCAACATTAACGCGGCCAAGGGCGGCGTTCTTCACCTCCCACCCTCCCTCCCTGCCACGCTGGGTATCCACCACCTTCACCCGTTTCTGACGCTCACCACGATCTCAACCATGATTTAGTGTGAAATTCTCTATTTAATATCTCTGACTATTATATATTTTTCTGATTTTCCCCGTAATTATAGTCTATAAGCTTCTTACAGATTCGTATTTTATGTAGTATTCCAGGTTAGTTGATTGAGCATTGTGGTGTTGCTGTACTTGTGTTCTCTCTTAATGTAACACGATAATGGCGCTGATCACTCTTACACCTTTATATTATCACCACGATATAGTGTAGTGCCCACTTTACCTTTTAATATTTCTTACTGGTTGAGATTAATCTTCGTATTTAATCTTAATTGTAATTCTAATATTATCAATAAACACTCTCGATGTTTCTTGCCACTACAGGTTTCTAGTTTTCATAATTAATAATAAACGAATCGCTTCCATTGTGTTGAATAAATGTTAAATCGTAATAAGATAATACCTGGTACTGAGTGTAGAAATGGTGTTGTAAGAAAGCCAGTGTTGAGTTGGGATGAAACCAGTAGGTGGGTGGGTGGGGTGGGTTGGGTGGGTAGTGGTGGGTGAGGCCTGTTATCCCCCGGGGTATTTTCCCTTTAGTAAACAAACAATGAACTGCGTTATGTTGAATAGTGAATACAGTTACAGGATTGTTAACTGTTTATTAATTCCTCGAGGCACGTTCATTATATTATCTTTGGATCAACTGAAGATTAACCACCCTAACACTAACTTAACTCCCCCCCAGATTAGGTTTAAGATGTTTAATCATCAGGTGAAATAATCTGGGGGACTAATCTTCAGGTGATCTAAATATGAAGCAAAAAAACCCTGGGTAAATGAGATAAAACAGGTATTGGATGTAACGGGACACTATGAACGCCCTATAGAGATCCAGCTTCAACTCAACCCCTCGAGGATGCACCTAGACGGAAGCCCATGTAAGGTGAATTGGTGCTATGGATCCCCTAGCAGCAGCTGACCCTAGCGTGTTACTGTCTGCGCTACTTCTTCCGCCTTGACCCTCCTTGCCTTTTGAAAGACTGGGTTTAACAGTCTCAGTGGGCTAAAAAGTTCATCGTGGGCCGTGTGTCTGCCGAGTAGATGAAGGTATTGGGCGTTTGTGTAGTGTGGGCGACGGTCGTGGGCTTTGTGCATAATGTGAGTGGATGTGGTGGGCGGAGGTATAAGATGGGCGGCAGGCTTCTTATGGGTAAAGCTTGTGTGTGAATGTTAATGGGTTTGTGTATAATATGGTGGGTGTTAGTGTGAAGGGGGGGTTCACATAACACAGGGGACAAGGTTAACACTGCCTGGTATTTACTGTTATTAATCTGGGAACGCGTGTACTTTGTTTTTACTAAGGTGTTGTAATGTGCCGTCAGGATGTTGAAATGTCAGGTTTGGTAATTGTTTATCAATTTAGAGCCGGGTGTAATAGGAAGACCAAGGACAGAGCCGAGGGGAGGGACTAGATCATGGAGCCCGTGATTGTGGAGGAGACGTGTAAAGTGTGTGCAGGTGTTCATTAAAGTCAGCGTCGTGCCACTTTCTTAAACTTAACCTAACCCGTAAGTTGTGTTGAGAGTTACATCAGGTTCCTAATTTGTGTGACAATGATTTCTGCGCCCACTGACACGCTGGAAACGTGTTTTTACCCTAACAGGCTCCAAAACAGTGTCACCGTAACATTAGGTGACCCTTTTTAATATTATTGTGCTCGACTCTTGTGGCGTTTTACTTCATGCTCGTATTTTCTAAAGACATGATACTGTTTAGTGTGTACAGAGTTTAACATTATTTTGATGTCACTCTTATAGTTTTCTTGGTCAGTAATTTAATAGTACGTCTGATTAGACTAGATTGCATGTTTGAGCTTAAAGTACGTAAAGACACTAGTGGCAGTCGCTTTAGTGTGTATGAACACAACAGGGAGCTGTGTGGATACTTACAAACTGGTGTAGGAGTTATTTTCTGTATGATCCTGGGTTATAATCTTTATAAAAACAACACTCCAGTGCTCGGTGCTTTGTTGCTACTAGTACGAGTTGCTTCAGCTGTCATACAAGACCTCTGCACCTCCTTACACTCGCTTAATATATCACTTGTTTTTGTATCATCACTTTATGTAGAGTCACGGGCGGGTAAGTAATCCCCAGGAGGATGGTTGGGTGTGGCGGTCAGATCCAGGGAGAGGGGAGGAGGTCACACGTCTGTCTCCCACGCTGGCTCCTTCACGACTAACACGCCGCCTCTTGGGGCCTCACCGTCAACTTCTCAGACCTGCTGCTGCTGCTGTTGCAGCTTGCCGGCACCACCAGTGAGGTGGGGGTGGGGGGATGGAGGAGGGGAGAGGGGGTGCGTAGGTGGTAGGGATGAACTGATTGTTGGTTAAGTGAGGAAAGGATGTTTGAGGAGGTTTTGGAAGGTTATATTGGGATGGGCTGGTTGGACGGTGAGGGGGGCGGAAAGGTAGTGGTGGTCTGGCTGAGGGAGGAGGGAAATGTAGGTGGTAGGGGGGGTTGTGGTGGAGTGTTAGGTTGGAAAGAATGAGGAGGGAGTGAGATATATAGTCAGAATGTGAGACGGAGGAGTAAGTGCAATGGGTTGGTGTAGTTATTGATTGGTGGAGGGCTGAGGGAGGAGGGGGGGGTGACGCACAGGGGTTGTGGAGGAGGGCTACCACCACTGAGGTTATTGAGGTTATCGAAGAAAAAAAAAGTCTTTTGGAATGTACAAGTCAATAGGAGAAAAAGTGACTTTTTTATCGTTTTCTTATATCTGTCAATTCTATTCCTTTCCCAGTTATTTTTGATGACACAGGTGCAGTGAATTTCCTACAAGGGAGTCTGTTTGTTCCTCAACTTTAGATATACAGTACCGGGGAGTAACTAGGTCCCCGTGTCCCACCTACTCGTCCATTGGTAACCAGGTACCACACATCACTGTTTTCATACGTTTCCTCGTGACAAGACAATGTTTATTTCCACTCACACATTAGTTAAGGAATAAACTGCAACATTTCTGGTGTAATGTTTACAGCATATGGTTGGTGTGCCGATTGTCTTCAACTCCACTACAATAGATCTCACTTCACAAGCCAGCTTGATTATTTTCCCCATACTTGTAGCTGCGTGCGTTCACACACTCACGCACATGCACGCATTCACGCACGCACACCAGGCAAGAGAGAGAGAGAGAGAGGGAGAGAGTGTGTGTGTGTAATAATAAAATAATAATAATAATAAACGGTTTATTAATAGAGTTGCAGCCGGTGGCTGAAAACCTACAGACTTACACTTGATTTAGACATAATGTGTGTGTGTGTGTGTGTGTGTGTGTGTGTGTGTGTGTTCTGATCAAATGATCGACCACACAGGCTGTCACTCCTCCCGCAGTGTTTACCCCGTCAACCCACCGGTCTTCCCGCACACACACTCCATCATCATCATCATCATCATCATCATCATCATCATCATCATCATCACGCTGCCTTTAGGTGTTGCTTACCCACCCTATCTTGTCATAGATTCTGGTCATCTGGTGCTGGGCTGAGTATCATCTCTGCTGTGTTTATGCTTTGGTTAGTCCATATTCTGACCATGAGTGAGCCCATTTGTATTCTACATTTTGGTTGTATTCATCTTTCTTAAAATGTCTGGGATTCGCGTTTATTGATCGCTTGAAGTAGTGGTTTGTCGTCTCAGTTGTTGAAGCCAAACACGCACTTGTTCGTGTGGTGAAGCTCTCTCTGGCTCTCTCTCTCTCTCTCTCTCTCTCTGGCTCTCTCTCTCTCTCTCTCTCTCTCTCTCTCTCTCTCCTCTCTCTCTCTCTCTCCTCTCCTCTCTCTCTCTCTCTCTCTCTCTCTCTCTCTCTCTCTCTCTCTCTCTCTCTCTCTCTCTCTCTCTCCTCTCTCTCTCTCTCTCTCTCTCTCTCTCTCTCTCTCTCTCTCTCTCTCTCTCTCTCTCTCTCTCTCTCTCTCTCTCTCTCTCTCTCTCTCTCTCTCTCTCTCTCTCTCTCTCTCTCTCTCTCTCTCTCCTCTCTCTCTCTCTCTCTCTCTCTCTCTCTCTCTCTCTCTCTCTCTCTCTCTCTCTCTCTCTCTCTCTCTCTCTCTCTCTCTCTCTCTCTCTCTCTCTCTCTCTCTCTCTCTCTCTCTCTCTCTCTCTCTCTCTCTCTCTCTCTCTCTCTCTCTCTCTCTCTCTCTCTCTCTCTCTCTCTCTCTCTCTCTCTCTCTCTCTCTCTCTCTCTCTCTCTCTCTCTCTCTCTCTCTCCTCTCTCCTCTCTCTCTCTCTCTCTCTCTCTCTGCTCAAAAGACTCTCAAGGTAAAATTGTCTCTTGAACGTGTAATTGTCCTCTTGAGCCCAGTTACCTGACCTTACTGTGATGATGGGAGGGTTTAGCCGCAGACAAGTACAGTAAATAACAAAAAAAAGTAAAACAAAAAGAAGAAAATTGGTCTGGATTTGTTAGTTTCACTTTCATTATCGGTCTAACGGCACTTTATTGACTGGTGTTAACGTGGGATTATTTTTAGTATCCTGGCCTCTGGTTTTATTCAATTTTTTGTCCTTTTATGGAATGAAACTTACTTTCGGGGTGTGTGTGTGTGTGTGTGTGTGTGTGTGTGTGTGTGTGTGTGTGTGTGTGTGTGTGTGTGTGTGTGTGTGTGTGTGTGTGTGTGTGTGTGTGTGTGTGTGTGTGTCTGTCTGTCTGTCTGTCTGTCTGTCTGTCTGTCTGTCTGTGTCTGTCTGTGTGTCTGTCTGTCTGTCTGTCTGTTCGGCCTTGGTGTTTATCTGTCAATAAGTGATGACATATAAAGGGGGGGTGGGGGGTAGTGAGTAATGCTAACTGTATGGGTGGGGTAGACAACTTACGATTGAGGATTGGTTTGAATCTTACGGTAGGAAATTACTTAGAATCTGGGGGAGGGAGGAGGATGAAACAAAGCCAGGTGGGGAGGAGGGAGGGTAGAGAGGGGAGGAGGAGTAAGGTGGGGGTAGTTGTTTTCCTTCCTCTTGTTGAAAATAAGTGAGTGAAGTGAGGAGAAGTTTAATCGTAAAGGAATCCTGTGAATAATGGTCCGGGTGATGGAAGGATGTGAGTGGTGGACGTAAATGAGGGAAAGGATGTAGTGGTGGACGTAAATGAAAGGAAGGATGTAGTGGTGGACGTAAATGAAAGGGAAGGATGTGAGTGGTGGACGTAAATGAGGAAAGGATGTAGTGGTGGACGTAAATGAGAGGAAAGGATGTGGGTGGTGGACGTAAATGAGAGGGAAGGATGTGTGGTGGACGTAAATGAGGGGAAAGGATGAGTGGTGGACGTAAATGAGAGAGGATGGAGTGGTGGACGTAAATGAGAGGAAAGGATGTGGGTGGTGGACGTAAATGAGAGGAGGATGTGAGTGGTGGACGTAAATGAGGAGGAAAGGATGTGAGTGGTGGACGTAAATGAAGGAAGGATGTGGTGGTGGACGTAAATGAAAGGGAAGGATGTGAGTGGTGGACGTAAATGAGAGGAAAGGATGTGGGTGGTGGACGTAAATGAGAGGGAAAGGATGTGAGTGGTGGACGTAAATGAGGGGAAGGATGTGGGTGGTGGACGTAAATGAGAGGAAAGGATGTGGGTGCGGCTGTAGTTGAGGTGAGGTGTCCTA